ATTTGTCTACGTAAGATACTCAATATCCGTTGATTGAATACCATTAGCAGCAGCTTACCATAGGAGGGAATAAACCAGGTTCCAGATGAAGAGGAAATTAGGAAAAGAGGTTGGAAGTGGATAGCACATACATTGAGAAAATCGTTAGACTGCATCACGAAGCAAGCGCTTTCTTGGAATCCTGAAGGGAAACGCGAACTAGGAAGATTGTATAACACACTGCGTGGGTAATTGTTAGCAGACTTGAAAAGGATGAATAGCAGCTGGAAACAAGGGGAAAGGATTCGCCAGGACAATGTTGGGTGGAGAATGCTTGTGAACGACTTATGCTCCTTCATGAGGGATAACAGGAGTTTGTTAACAATGAAGATATTTTGATGTCAGACTAACTCAGATTACTGTAAAATCTGAGGAAATATGTAACAAAGTAGTAGTGAGTTATTTACAAATGGAGGGAGAGGACAGGAAAAAATGATACATTAGTTAAAAAGTTTAAAGTAATTTGAATTTGTTACTTCGGATTATTCATTACTAGTGCAATGAACAGTTACTTAATTGTCGTAAATTATTTCAAGAGAATTTCACACTTAATGAGCATTGAATTCACGTCCTTGATAAGTTTTAGAAATGTAATAATACCCAAAATTATGAAAATCATTTCAATAAAATTGTACAATATCAGTGTTAAGGGATAGAAGTTTTTGAAGTGGATTATGGATCAGACCATACCTTTTTTGTCTGTTTGTTGGTTTGCTGATTTATCATATTTGTCATGTCAAACCTTGATTGTTAATGATACTTAGTTTGCCTGTTTGCCTATCATTTAGACGAAATAGTTTTCTGAAAATCATTTTAATCTGTTGAACTATTACTTATTGATCCCAATTGGAGTTACCATTTAAAACCAAGAAGCATTGAACAACTGTTTTGTCCCCGTATGCGACTCCTCGGCATACTAGAAGTTTGATACTATGACGAAATAACTATCTATCTATTGTGTGCTTGTCACTGATTTGCTTTGAGATGATTTTCTCAATTTATGAAGAATTGTTATGTGTTTAGAATTAAACAGTTCTCATCAAAGGTATTGGATAGTCCTCTCGGTGTTTTACAAATTGTCTGAACTTGGAAATATGTGGTATTGGATTTTATTCAATTGGTATAAATGTTTAGCACCACTTACAAGGCTCGAAGTCCCTGGAATCCATTTCTCGAGGTGCCGCGAGTGTGTACTGTTAAGTAGTCTCATACTAACATGAAACAGGCACTCGATCCTCTCCATTTACTTATCTATTTAGTTATGTACCCACCTATCAATAGTACACTTGTATAGTATAGAACAGTAAACAGATATGCAAAAACTTCATCATTAAACTATTCATTTTCATCTCCAATATATTATTATTGATGCTTATTACCAAGGTGACAGATGTTTGGTAAAAATGTGCGGGCAATAAATCTATTTTTTGTTACTTTCGACTATCTTGGAATGTTTTTCTCTCTGTTTTCTTGTTATCACTATAGTAACTGTAACATTTTTCTCACAATACTACTAATAATAACAACGATATATATATATATATATATATATATATATATATATATATATATCGTTGATTTTATCATTCCAACTGTTAACAACCAATATATATTAATATAGTAACAGTGGCAGTCGACTTAGTTTGAAATGAATACATATATATGTATATGTATTTAAAAAAATAGAATTATGGAACACTTCTCAAAAAAATTGATTATTCATAATCTAATCATTATTTTTGTTTTCATTACCTTAAGGTTGAATGAAATTTGAAGGGCAGGGAAGAATTAGTTAGAGAAGTGAGATAAAGATTGGCTTTGTTACAAACAGTAGACAATTTTCGTAGTCCTATCTGTATTGATCATATTATTCATTGTTTTAAGCAGTAGTATATATATATATATATATATATATATATATATATATATATATATATATATATATAGGTGTGTAGGTATGTATTTCTGTTCGTGTATACATAGCATTAATTCTATACCAATTTTTACATATAACTATAGTTGTTTTGGAGTCTTTTAGAAAAACAATGCGACTATTGTTTCTGACCATAAAATTGTATATGCATTTCCTAACGTAATAATTTTCATTCAGATAATAAAAAAATGGGATCGTATGAATTTTTCCAGGGTTAAAGTTTCGAATAGGTTTACATTTTGTTTGCATACATGGTACACGTGATCGATAAATGTAAGCATTATTTACCGAATTGTTATTATTGATGTTGTTATTATAAGTAAACATAATGAAAACAGATGTATAAGCAAATATATTTTTATCTTAGTGTTATTAAATGAGTGAAATACTGAAACAATGCATAATAAACTTATCACTGAAATGTATTATTAGGTATACATTTTATAGATTTAGGGTCATTGAGATAAACGTCCTTATTGGTTGATGAGGTTAAGTAATACAGATCATAATTAGTTGTACTGAAATTGGTGTAATGACTTTTTACTTCTCCCTATATCATAACTTTCAACAATTCACCATTTATACTTTAGCTTCATTCCTTTTATTGAAGCATATGTTCACTATTCCGTCTTTCACGCTATCTTTATTACAGTTGTTTTAACTTTTTTTCTTCCTAATTTCACCTCATTTCGCTGATTTGATGTGTCAACTTGTGTTGATACACATTTATGCCAGTTAATATATTAATTTTGACTGGTTGACTGACTGATTACATGTTGAAGAATGAAGGAGAACCAATAATTTGTGATAATAACAAGATATTAGAAAATAAGGGATTACAAACAGATTCAGATGATATGGGTATTAAGTAAATATAGAGTTTGATGAACGGTAAGCCACATACATTAAGCTTCTTTTTTGTAAGAAAATAAGTAATGTAGCTTGTTACATCTATGGATAATCCTAGGATCAACCAATTTGTACATTAACCTTAGATAACTTATTTACCTTCTCAACTTAAGATTATGTAAAAGAATTAGTCAATTCTTGATAAGGAGATTTGAGCCACTAAAGAAAAACTAATAGGTCTATACTAATATAATGTAAATAAACTCGAAATGTACTTGGATGAAGAGCAATACAAATACACTTAAGTATCAGCAAAACAATGAAAGAGTTCTTGTTTTAGGCTGTCCTCGGATGAATGACATCGGGATGAAAAACTTTATTTCTAAACTATGAATAAATAAATAAAGTGTGAAAGGTATCTTCAACTTGTGATGATTTTAGTAATATTGGATTCTTTGACCTGGTTTCAGAGTTTTCTATTACTTGATTAAAAACATCCTTAGTATTAGATTAAAAGATTAAACGGTGAATGAATTTTTTTTCATAACTAGTGTCTTACTGACTTGATTACGATTGCTTATTATTCTATAGCTCATATGTATTTTAGAATTTAATCTTTTACAAACATGACTGTTGAGAATTTAGATTTGTTCTAGCATGTCTATTTATGAAGTGATTGAAACCAAGTGATAATTGCTCAGGAATACTAATTTCCTGATAGAGTATCAGATGATCAAAAAACTGATCAGCAAATTGTTGGTTGTTTCATACAAAATAATCATACATTTATAAAAAATATTTTATACAAGACTAATATACTTGGAATTAATTTACAATGTAAATGATTATTAACATCAGATTTTGTAAATCGTTCACTAACTTATGAAATTATTATCCAACAATGTTATTAATCGTAGTTAATGTCACCTTTTTTATGACTTAATGGATTAGGTAGTTGAGTAGCATCATTAGTCGTTGGGCGTAAAACAATACTGTTTTTTATATTTAGTTTCCTTTTATTCTCCCTATATATATATATATATATATATATATATATATATATATAGTGTAGTTTGCTCATCGTGTCATCATTCAGCTTGTTTATTAGAGATCTTAGCTGATAGTTAATTTGTAGAAATCATATGTAGTGAATAAGTGTTGAAATATGAACATTTTCTAAACCCTGTTATTTTACATGCCACAGAAATTTCGATTTTTGTTTTCTGTTATTTATAGAATTTTAGAAGGATAGTAATTTACTGAATGACAATCACAGTTATTTATAACTGAAATCCAGTACATTCTCTAATTATTTCTATGGTAACAAATGTATTTATTGGTATCCAGGTGATAAATTATATTTTTCTTGTCTTATATTGTTGATTTTGTCTATTTTTCATTTGTTTAGTTTTTTTTTTACATATTGAAAATAAATTTGCTTAACTACTAAGTGACTAATTGAAATTCTATGAACTCATTTTATTCTATAAGGGTATGTGATTTTATTTCATTGTTTAATATGTGTAGTTTTAATATCGTGTTCATTATTTTGTGGATAATAATGATGATATATGTGGTATTTATGTACAATAATTTGGCATAAACTGTGGTCGAAATAATACATCGAATTAAATTAATCTATGTAATTACTTAACAACATCCACCTTAAATTAAAAAGATTTCAGTTGGTTGTATAGGTTGATTTTATATGGTTGGTGTCTTGTAGTTCGTATGATTAATTTTCAGTTGTTGATCTTAATTCATAGAGCATCGGAGCCATTCATGTTGTAGCAAATGCTAAAACAATAACATATTGACGTTTCATTCTTAGAACATTTTTTGCAGTCACACTAGATTTACTAACCTATAAGTTTTGGATTTACAAATTCAGGATTGTTCTAGTTAACTAACTGATGATATTTTGAACTTTGAATGTTAAAATTACAAACTATGTGTTTAGAGATTGAACTAACTGGTATGAAACTGATTTATGGTTTGGTTTCCTTTATTTCTGATAGAAAGTTATTTATCTTTCAATACTGGAATATTTAGTACAATTTAATTTTTATTAAGATTATGAAATAAACTTGGATCTTAATAAGATTCAACAATCTCCACAATTCCTCCATACTCTTGATTTTAATTGTTGGTATTGTATTTTTTTCCTTCTAATTTACAGGTCTCCATTCTGTAGCAGATATCTACTGTGATTGTTGTCATACAGTATTAGGTTGGAAATATGAACAAGCTTTTGAATCTAGTCAAAAGTATAAAGAAGGCAAGTATATCATAGAATTAGCTCATTTAATTAAAGACAATGGATGGGATTGGGTAGTTTCTGAATTAGAACAACGAAGACCTTATTGAAGGTGTATTTTTTATTGTTAAGACGAGTTCTTAAATCTTCAAAGCGAAAGAGTGCTACTATTACTACTACAGTAACCCATGTTGTGGATCTTTACAATTATACAAACGTGTGTTGTTTGATTCATGTGTTATTTTCTATATAGTTACACATTATAAAGTGCATTGTAACAAGTATTGCTCATAGTCTTTCAATTTTCAATGGAAATCATCATATTTTCCATTTATAGCCTTTTGGCTTTTCTAAATTTTACTTCTCTAGCTTTCCAACTCTATCTTTCCCTCCCCAACTATCTTCGAATGTACGTGTTAGTCATAAAACTGACACCGTAGATCAAGAAAAATTTCTATGATTCTTTATGTTTCTCGGCATTACAGTTTATCTTTCTTTTTAAACTTGTTTACTTATTCTTCTGTTTATTCAATGGATACTTGTATTGATATTATTCTTCACTCAAATTTGTCTATGAATCAGTTCACAATGAATCAACCAATAATTATTGGTTTGGGTGATGCAGATGATCATGAAAACAAAGATCCCATTACACATCTGTGCGGTTTTGCCATGTGTGTATTTCATGTTTTTCCAGTTAAATTCAAATGTGTACTATGAAGCCATGTTTATCTTTCTATTGACTTCGGCATTATCGATCCAACAGAGAATATTAGAATGATTCAATTTCAGTTTTTTTCTTAAAATGTCAACATTTTGTTGTTAGTTTTGTTTGCCTTTTTTCTCCGCACCATTTATGCTTGATTTTATTCTCAGGATAGGATCAATCAAACTGATTATATATAAGTTTGAACTTATAAATTATTAGGTATTCTTTACATTGTTTGATGCTAATAATGATCACTATTAAATAGGCCTATTACTTCTTTGAATTGTTGCATTACCGAACAGTAAATAATAACTTCACTTTTATGAAGGAAATCTTTTGTCTCTCTCTCCCTCCTTTTCTATCTGTATTTCTTGCTATCATTAAATCTATGGCCAAATCACAAAAATCACTATTTTCTTTGTTTAGCCAGCTTGATTAATTTTGTCTGTTATTTCGTGCTTTTTGAAGTTACTTTTTTTTCTCAATGAAACAATTTGTGAAATTTATATTTACATGTATACGCTTATGTAAATATGTTACTCTTTATATTTACTTATCATTATTCTACTACTTTGTTTACGCTTTCATTGTTTATGTATGTATATGTGTATGCCTGTTTTGTTCAGCGCTTGCAGTTTGAATAAAACAAAAACAAAACTCAAGCTGAATAATTTGTTTATCAGTTTTATCTATAGGTTAAATAATACATGTACCAAATAAACACACATATACATACACAATGATAACGATTAGATACTTCTGATTGTTCATTAGTTTTGCTTTGATTATCTTTCCCCGATTATTATTATTATTATCACTATGACTACTCAAATTTATTGTCTCTCATCTATTTTATAAAGCTTAATCGAATGTCATAACCTGCATAGAAATGAAGTTAATGATTTCTTCTATTAAACTATCATTTTTATAATATCGATTCTTGAATTATCCCCTTTTATCATATGATCAACTTTTTTTCAGATTTTATTCTCTTTTTGTGTTTTTTCCCTCTTAACAAATTACGTAATCATTTCAAACTATGTATTATTTTGTATGAATAAAATTTCTTTTTTCTAAAATTTACTTGACCTTATACTTCGCCTGTTGTTCATTCCTGTAATCAACATTTTGTTTTGGTAATAGTTACATTTACAAATTATTAACTGGATACATTATTCATTTTATATCAACATGATCATTATTCATATACTACTCATAATTTGATTCAGGTTCTTTGCTTATATTGTTTGTTTGTTTCTTGCTTTTGATCTTTTACTATTGTCTATTATCAATTCGTTCATTTATGTTTCATGATTAGTCTTTGACAATGTCTTTGTCATCAACATTATCGCTACAATACTATATGTTTATAATGTTCCAATGAACAACAAACAAACAAACGAACAAAACATAATGAAGGTTGAAATGAGTAATAAATAATTTTACCTAGTAGAACCAATGAAAATCACAGAATATGATGGGAGTTATTCTTATTTTTGCCAATATATATATATATATATATATATATATATATATATATATATATATATTCAATAATGCTATTACCAATTTTAGTTATCATTACCCAATGTGGTAAATTTGCATTTATAACTTTTACTGTTTTGAAAGGCAGACAGACATTGATAAGCTTTTGTTTATTATTATTATTGTTCATATTTACTTTGATTTTCCTAGTGTTTTTTTTTGTTTTGTTTACAGATTTGTGTAATATCTTATTCATTGCATATTGAGTAAATTTCTACTTAATTACTTCATAATGCACATAATATGCAACATAAATAAACAAATTAACAACTAATACTTGTGAAACATTCTTGTTTTTCCAGTTAATTTAATATTCCTCTAGGATTAAAATATTCATGTCTATTATGATTTGTTATCATTTCCACGTGTTTTCCTCAACAACAAAATTTTTTTTTAAATCTCTAATCCTATATCCTTTAAAATATATTCGTGTATGTTATATTCTTTATGCAATTTGAATGCTTCATTTGTTCTTGTGTTTATTTCCTCTGCCTCACTTGTTCAATGTTCACTTTATGATTATCGTTAATCTTTGCACGAAAAAAAAGAAGAAAGATATCTTCAGATAAGTAACACTTTTGTGTAGACAACAGAAGTAAACAATCTCAGATTGTTTGAAATAATCAGTTTGTGTAATATATGATTACTTAGAGATTGTTTTATCTTTTTTTCTCACTGTTTCTTTACTATTACTTCTGTATTCTCTCTTATACTGTTTACTGGATGAAGTCATAACAAATGATGTAAATGATAATAATTTCAAGTTATGACATAATAGAATGTAATGGAAATATGTCGAAATTTTTTGTACAAATATACATATATGTAACATACATAATAATATTATTATTACTAATTCTGACTGATTATCATTAATCTTATCAACATTGAATATTATTGGTTCCTTTTTGTTGTTGTTGTTATTGTTTTGTTTATACAATTTGAGCAGGGCTCAATTATTCAACTTCTTTCAGTTACTGTGTGATTCACTTTTTCATGGGTGGCTTTTTTTGTTGTTTTCAGTCTATAATTATGTTTCATAGAAGGAAAATTAAGTAAGGAAAATATATATAAATGACAATAATCTTATACCAATCAAATTGTTTTGTTTTTAAATAAATCATGAGTGATAATTTTTAATATATTTTGTATTATGACTAGCACTGGAATCCAGATAGATAATGTACTTGTGTTTCATTGTTGATATTTACATTGAATATTGAATATAATGACTATTAGTTCAAATGCCAAAACGTTATCTATTGAGTTACTAGGTACAGATCACTACCAACTTCAATATATTAAAAAAATTTTGCAATTATTCATTGTAGAAGTTCAAAACTGAAATCAATCATTCTGTATTATCAATGTTTAACTATGTTTGCATACAACACAATGAATTTGTTTATTATTTCGTTGGATTATCATCAAGTACATGCAGGTCAATAGGTTTATCAGTATCATGTTCTAGTGTGAAGCCGTGACCAGAGGAGCTAATCTGTGTCAGGTAGAAACAGGTATTTACCTCAGACAATGGAAGATGGTCGCGCTATTTTGTGGATTGGTTAAAGTTATACATTAACACCGTTGGATACCGGCCGGCTCAGTGGGATAGAGGTTAGCTGTTCACGTTCGAGACCGAAAGTCCTGGGTTTGGGTCACGCGTGTGGGATCGTGGATGCGCACTGATGAGAAGTCCCATACTAGGAAAAAATGGCCATCCAGTGCTTCAAAGGTTTTAATGGTAGCCTAATATTGGTCGATTCATAATCTCAATCAAAAACTCAATGGATTTAGTTCAGAATATTTAAAATAGTACACGAAGTTCTAGATAGTGAATTATGTATCAGTCGACAGTATATTGTTAGAAGACAAAGTTATACTGAAGTTTTATAACGAATTAAACTGAGAGTTCAAGAAAATTAGAAAATAATTATTTGAATTATAATTAGGGTTATTGGAAAAACAAAGTTTTACATCAGACAACGTCAAGGATATTAAGTTTTGTACGGATACGATTTGCAATATAATCTACAAGAATCATTTATTATAAGTCCTATTTTAGGACAGCTCTCTTGTATTACTTTTTTATATGAACATTTAGGTGAAGGAAGTTCAGGATATGCATTATATCGAATTTCTCTTTGAATGTTAATTATGCTAATCAGAATTGTATCTAAGACTATGTGAATAATGATGGGTAGGAGTTATTAATATTCCGTATTAAATTTCGACCGATCTCTGTTAGCTTATCTACGCTAAGAACAAGTACCTTAATGTTTACTGCTGTTACATATTTTATTATCATATAATAATGGACGTTTATCAACAGAAGCTGATCAAAATTCAACTGAATGTCATTAAAAAGAAAAAAAACGAATATCATATTCATTGAAAAAGTTAATGATTATCAATACTCATCAGCTTGGTGGACTACACGTTGATACTGGAAACGATGAGTGGTGATCAACACTGAAACGATGTCACATTTAGTTGACATGTTCTAAACAGAACTCAACAAAATCCGTGATTCCACTGTTATTTCAAAAAACAATTAAGTTACTAGTTCTTAATTTAGCATTATTGAAAGAAATTACTTTAAAAACTGACTCAAGTTGGTTACAGTATGTTACATAAAACAACGAATGACAGCACAATAATACACATTTATCAATGTTGATTAATAACAGAAGACATTTAATTTAACTCGGACGTTAATTGACCAGAAGCCTAGGAAAATACACTTTTTCTCAAGCATGTGTAACATTATTTGATATTTAATATATAATCATGAATGACCTTACATCGTTATTTTCGAGACAGTCGATTCGACATATAAATTAGTCGAGTGATAAT